GACTATGTGGACAACGGTACAACTATTTCCTATCTCTAGTATCCACTTTCTAATTCCCACGTTAAATATCGAGTTGGAGACTGAACAGCGTAGTATGTCTTTTCGCTATTTACACAGTTGCACTGAAATAATTATTTTCAAAAAATCTCTATTTCACGTACTTTGCGTAGTCTCCCTCGTGTCCCGGCGCCATGCCGGATGCATACGACTCAGTTTTGGAGTTATTCACAATTATTTCCAGCTTCTATTTGAATAAATGTTCATTCTCTGCTATTTGTACTTTAAGATAACTTGTACTTGACTGACGTACCATGACAGTCGCTGAATGCGCCCGTGATAAGCAGGTACTGCGTAGACAACAATAGACGTAACTTAGCAACAAAGCAAGCAAGCACAGGCATGTATGTGGGCATTACCTTGTGCACTGGCTGTGGCCATTTTTTATTAGTAGTGATTTACAAAGTATAAAACTGAAAAGGTCTAGATTGCTATGTACGAGGTGGTACCATGTTTAACACATGGACGGATGGGCATAGGAATCGCCGCCCCGCAAACAAAGACAGAAAACTAGCTCGTACTGTGTAGGAGTGGTGTTTGCCGAATTTTTTAGACATAAGTGGCGGGCTGGTTAGTGAGTGCGGTAGCTCGATTTCCTCTGAGGAGGTCACTTAATAAATATCACAGCTACGAATGGCCTGAACTAGGACATAAGTAGAGGTCGTCAGTGCATTCTTGCATATTGATATTTGGGAAGAAGGATTTCCTCAGTCAGAAATGTGTAATCGCATTATGATATGCATTTAAGAAAAAACATATATTTCAGAAAGAGCTCGAATAATAAAGCTGGTTCGTTCAGCCGCCCCAAATGAGTACCCTTTCGCTATCGAACTGCAATCAAAAATAGTATATAAAGACTACGGCTAATGTAGGCCAATCAAAATAAAAAAGTTTGGACCCGATTCTGCGGCTGAGATTAGAGTATGCAGCAGTCGGTTAAGTCCAGCGTTCTACGATTGAGCACTATGGGCAGTTGATCGGCCACAGGCCACCTACAGAGTAAATGCAGGGCAGGGATACTCAGGACTTATTACGGGAAAAATAAAGGAGGCTAGGATTACAGTTTGTGGCTTTTGTGCCAAAAACAAATAGGTATTGTAGTTAGTTGTTCACCGATCTGTATTTTCAGGATGTACCCATCCTGGGTGATGCCTCGCGAAAGCGGACCAACTGATTGTGTCTTCACCAGGCTTTTAATTGTAATGTTACTAATTGAGTTTTAATAACATATATTTTTATGTTATAGTAGTATTCCGGCAAAGACAGGCACCCTAGTATAGGTATTTCTGGCTTTCTGGTCGTCGTCAGCTAGGGGAAGCCAGGGGGTAGCCGTACGAAAGCATAATCAGTTGGTCCGATTTCGCAAGGTATCAACCATGGTGGGTATATCCTGAAAAGACAGATACGTGTACAGTTAACTACTATAAACTTCCGATCGATAACCAGCAACACAGCGAACTTGTGGCTCAATGGTTAGAATGTTTGCCTCTGACCGGCGAGACGCGAGTTCGAAACTCGAGTGTGGCAGCAATTTCAGCGGCTTTACTAGAGTTGGCTACCCCTAGCTGACGACGGCCAAACGCCAGAAATAGCTATAATAGGTTGCCTGTCTTTGCCGGAATACTACAGATAGTTATATTCGCGTTCAGATGGAAGAGACCTGAGGACTGGACTGGAAGCAATTGTAAACTGACAGTTTTGTGCACTAAACAAGACGTCGGGCCACATCCTTCTGGATTGCATTATTAGATTGAAGCAACGAATGACTTCGAAAGTAAGCATTCTCCACTCATCCCGTGACTACTGATATAGAACAGTGCGTCTTAAACGGAATATGCTCCGGACGACCATGAGGACCAGATTATGGTACAGCATGTGTCAACAGGGTTACATGGAGGCCATGTAACCCTTCGCATATTCCACAGACGGGGGCTGTAGTGGCATGCCTAACAACTTGAACCCGATCCAAACATCAACTAGATGAACGGTTTGGTCAATGGACAGAACGCACAAGAGAGGAGATATAGAGCTACATTGATACTCAGACGTCGTCCGCGCGGTAGTCGAATACACTCCTTTCTTTAAACAAGCTGACGCGCTTCGAAAGTATCAGGGGCGACATCCGAATGCCCACAATCATCCCTCCTATACTCGCTGTTTTTTGGTAATATAAATTCTTGCTACCCTATCCTTACTTATATTATGATGCCGAACTGAGGATTATTAATCAAATTGACCTCTTATCTCTATAATTTTGGTCAAAGTACAATCAGACAAGGAGACAAAAGCTCTTGTAGTGACATAAGCATCCGTTTGGCTGACATGTTCGATAAAGTATGTCTTACCTTGTGATGAATATAACCCTCCATTTCCTGTTGCAATTCGTTCGCCCGTGTAGATAGTGCCGTTAGCATACTGTTGAAGTCATTGACGTTTTTAATAGCAGATTTGACTGTAAAAGAAGAAAAATAAAGTATTGAAGAATTGAGGATGTAATAACTGCCATTTGCAGCTTAGTATAAAACCTTTGCTCACACCTAAATAATGGATGAGCAGGGACATGGCAAGATACGAATCAATTTGGAGTCACTTTGTTAAAAGACTACCATATATCCACCTTTGAATAAAGATTTAAATCAGCTCACTTATACCTAAAATGTCGTGATAAAAACAGGTACGGTGTGCTGCGTCAGCTATAAACAGTTGAATATTATCTATTTAAAATGATGCTCATAAACGTTGACGATTATCTGGAGATGTTAGCTGACTCTCCCTATTCTTTTTGTCACGCTGGCTCTGTCAATCAAATTTCCCAGGTTGCTTGAAGCGAAAAAATTTTACGATATATTTGGTTGTGATCAAGCTTAAAGATTTGCAGACAGTGTGCGCCCTGTTGTTTAAGGCATACAGGACCTGTGCTTTCAAACAGGAATTTCAAGACGGGGAATTTAAGTTCCTACTGAAACAAAGATCTCAAGCAAAATGACGACCAGTGGGCACATTTTTCAGCCTCGCGCCCAACGCTTCAAGCATCTTCCCCAATCCAAAATTGGTCTTTCCGCTCACGTGTACTTAGCAATCTTTGTCGGATGAAAGTTTCAATCGGAGATAGTTCACGTAGGTGAAAATAAACGTCATGGACTATGCCCAATCCCTGCATCAGTTTACTGCTCGCTGCGCATAAAGGCCTTGTAGCGCTCAAGGAGATTGACAGGATTGTTCGAATGTACTGAAGTTAATTTTTATGGGCTCTGAGACGAAAAAGGAGTAATCGCGTGTTGGTGGTTATGGTCGACGTCCCTTTCTGTTATTGCCCAGTCTGTTCTGACCCGACTAGAAGGCAGAAGGAGGCAGGAGAACGGTTCTGATGGGCAATGGCTTATTTTAACAGCACAGAAAGTGAGTGGAGTTCGCAGGGTTTTTCAGTTTGTCCACTTGGGCACATTTATATGGTTCCGATCTTTCTAGAATATTCTCGGTGTGTGGTCTGCGTCTGGGCATTCTGGAACCTCCTCGACTGCGGCCACTGTGCACGCTATGTGAGCGGTCCTGTCGTTTGCTCGACGCACGGCGTGGGTGACTTGTATGCGGGCATGATCCACCGGTGGCGGCTTGACTGCGGGCAGGACCCAGATGGCCTGTTCTGTTTGCCGACCGCCGTGAGTGCATGGGGATCCCGCCTCTGTAACACTTTCCCTCACAAGGGCTTAAATCCCCTCCCTGGAGAGCAATACTATCTCGAGTTATCTCTTCAGCACTCCCAAGGCCCTTCCTCACAGATTCCGACAGCGTTGCCCTCCCAGTCATCTACCCACCTCCCCACATCCAGACAAATCATAGGACATTTTTAAAATGTTCTTTTTTCTTATACCCTACAAATTCAGCATATATCTAGGGATTCCCTATTGCTAGATTATCTTCCGCAGACAACCGACTCTATGCTTACTCTAACCGCGTCTGTGTGTACACATTAGCCTATCTAATGATCTTGTTCAAATGTTTTCCCCGCAGGATCTCTTCAAGGAAGATTACCGCCACCCGTCTGTGCCTTCCGCAATGTAT